AAAAAAAAAAAAAAGGATCTATACTGACGGAAATAGTTATTTTTACCAATGGAATTATCCGTTTGTAAAGATAAGGGTCTATACCAACGGAAAAATCTCTTAAGATTTTTTAGGGTCTATACCAACGGATAAGTCTTCCGTAAGAATAGATCCAAGGGTCTATACAGACGGATTGGGCGTTGGTATAGACCCTATACTGACGAGGTTTCCACCCACGGACAGTTCGTCCGTCGGAATAGTACCTAGGGTCTATACAGACGGAAAAAGGGTCTATACAAACGGAAAACTTCCGTCAGTATAGATACATTTGCTTGTAGTGATAACAGGATTCAAATTAAGATAAGTGGCATCAACATTGTCACACAAAATAGTTGGAGAAGCTGGATAGGGGACCCCAAGTTCAAATAATAGATGATGAACCCAAACAAGCTCAGAGATAGCAACTGCTAAGGCTTTATACTCAGCCTCAGTGGGACTCTAGGCAATAGCTTTTTGATTAGCTGCATGCTAGGAAATAAGATTTTGACCAAGAAAGACAAGGTAACTAGTAGTGCTAATCATTGTGCTACAATCACCGGCGTGGTTGACTCAGAATAGGCATAGAGGGAGAGAAAACATTGGGGCCGAAGTAGGATATCATGATCAGTGGTGCCGTGGAGATACCTAAACAAATGTGTGGCAACTTACTAGTGTAAGTCCTAGGATGATGCATAAATTGAGCCAGGTGATTGATAGTAAATAAGAGATTTAGGCAAGTGAGAGCTAAGTATAGGAGAGAACCTACAAGCTATTGATTGGTGGAACCATCAAAGAGTGCATTGTTGGAGGCAATGAGTAGATTTGAGCTGAAAGCCATCGGTGTAGACACGAGTTTAGCCTCGTGCATTTGGAATCGTTGAAAAAGATCATAAATATAGTGACGCTACGAGAGAAAAAGGCCTTCACTAGTACAGACAACTTCTACACCCAAGAAGAAATTTATATCACCCAAATCCTTCAAGGAAAAACGAGTGCTCATAACTTGGATAAGTGAGGTTAGAGCGGTGTGATTATTGCTATTGATAAGAATGTCATCTACATAAACTAAAAAATAAATCCAAGTAGACTCCTTATGATAAACAAAGAGTGAGGAATTAGATTGTGAGTATGAAAACCATGAGAGAGAAGAAATTGTTTAAGTTCCTAAACTAGGCCTAGGGAACTTGCTTGAGGCCATAAATAAACTTATTCAAGCGACAAACATAATCTGGAAAATTAGGATCAACAATACCTACGAGTTGTTGCATAAATAATTCTTCCTCAAGATGCCTATGTAGAAAAGCATTATTAATATCAAGTTGTCGAATGGGCCAATGTCTGCTAACAGCAATGGATAAAACAACACAAATAATAGTAGGTTTAATCATAGGACTAAAGGTGTTGAAATAATCAAAACCTGGGTTGTTGATGGAAGTCTTTTGTAACAAGGCATGCTTTATAGTGCTCAATATTGTTATCCTTAGCTCGCTTGAGCTTGAAAATCCATTTCCAACCGATTAGATGATAATTAGGATTAGGAGGAACCAAGTCCCACGTGCCTTGATGAACAACACTAAACTCATTAGAAATGGCCTGTCGCCAATTGGGATTTTTGAGAGCTTAAGTCACACATGTCGGTTCATTGATGGGACCAACAGAAGAAGTGACGGCTTGGTGGAGGACTTTTCGCTTAAAGATATTGTTTTGGCAGTGGGTAACCATAAGGTGAGTTCTGGTGGGTATTTGAGTTGGAGATGGGTTAAGAAATTGGATGTGCGAGTTTAAGGCAATGGGCTATGATGAGGAAATGGGACAAGATTGACTAGGGGTAGGTAAGTAGGCCGAGGAAGAATTAATGGACTGGGGAATAGGAAATTATGAGGGGTATTGGAAATACTTAATGGGCTAGTAGTAGGTTGGGGGGGAAGGTTGGGCTGAGAGAAAACTAGCAGAGAGAAAGCTGTAGCAAGCAAAAAAACTTCTTGGACCAAACCTTCATAGGGCGTAGAAAATGAAGGCATGGCAACTAGCTTGTCTAATAGGTCATAGGTGGAGGTACAGGGAACAGAAGTAAAGGACTCTAAGGAAGATTACTTATGGGTAGGCGACTGAGACTTAAAGGAAAACAATTGTTTATGAAAGATAGCATGTCTAGAGTGAAGTAATTTACCTGTGCATAAGTCAAGACATTTGTAACTAAGGTTTTCTGGGGAATATCCTATAAAAAGACGTGAGCGCAACCTAAATTGAAGCTTATTGGAGTTATATGGACGAAGCCACTAAAAACAAAGACGCCCAAAAACGCTAAGTTTGGCATAATTAAGTCGAAGCTTGAATAGCTTTTCAAAAGGTGTTTTGTTGGATAAGGACAAGGACAGTAGCCGATTTATTATGTAGACACTAGTTTGAAAAGCATAGGACCAATATTTGGATGGAAGTGAGGCATTGTGGAAAGTGTGAGTCCAGTTTCAACTATATATCAATTTTGACGCTCACTAATGCCATTGAGTTTGGGGGTATATGAAGGAGTGGTGAAGTGAGATATGCTATTTTGAGATAAAAAACTGCGAAGAGCAATATATTCACCCCTATTGTCTAAATGAAAAAGTTTAATTTTGCAATTAAATTGTTTTTCAACTAACCCTCTAAAAATTGAAAAAATAATGGAAACTTCACATTTGGTTTTAATGGGATAGAGCCAAGTGCATCAACTAAAAAGGTCAATAAATAATACAACACAAAACCATTGATGGAGGGGGTTGGCACAAGTCCCCAAACATCCGAAAATATATGATAAAGTGGTGAATTGCTTTTAATTGATGAATTTGAAAAAGGAAACTTCTGACTCTTGGAAAATGCACATGACTCACATGAAGAAAATTTTATTTTATTAGATAATGGAAGATTAAAGATATTAATAATATATTTTAGAGTCTTCACTGAAGGATGATCTAGTCATAATGGCCAATTCGTCATAGTACTATGCTCGCTTACAAATTCCCTAGGTTGTGGGCTAATGCTTCTTTGAATTTGGTAAACCCCATGAATGCTTGGTCCTCAAAGTAGAGTCTTTTTTGCATAAAATTCAATATAAACATTGGCACTTTTACATAATTGGAAAATATATATTAAATTGTGAGAAGCAAAAGGAAC